CACCAGCTCTGTGCAGGGCGCGGAGCCGTTCTGCAGCGGGTACAGCACGAAGGGCGAGTTGTCGTTGGCGTCCAGCACCAGCACGCGCACCAGCGCCTCGCTGTTCAGCGCCGGGAAGCCGCGGTCTGCGGCGCCCACGCGGAACTCGAACTCCTGCAGGGCCTCGTAGTCCAGCGATCGGAGGGCAAACAGGTGGCCGTTGTCTGTGTTGATGGAGACCAGGGAGGCGAGGGGCAGGTGCGGGTCCTGGGGTGGCAGCAGCGAGTAGGTGACCTGGGCGTTGGTGCCTGAGTCTCTGTCTGTGGCGCTGACGCTGCCGATGTGCAGGGCGGGGCTGTTGTTCTCGCGGACAAACAGGTTATAGGAGGTTTGGGTGAAGGCGGGGGCGTTGTCGTTGACGTCGGAGACCCGCACGGTTATGTTGTACTCGGTTTTCAGCCTGGGTGTCCCCAAGTCTGTGACAGTAATGGTGATGTTGTACTCGGCCCAGCTCTCTCTATCTAGCGCTCCTTCCGTTAACACGGTGTAGAAATTTTCTAAGGTAGGCTTTATAAGGAAAGGGAGGTGGTCTTGGATGGAACACATCATTTTTCCATTGTTCCCAGAGTCCGGATCCGAAATTCCGAAAACAGCGACCACTGTTTCTGGGGAGTTTTCTGGGATATCACTGATGAGTAAGGACATGGTAAGTTCCGGTGCGTTGTCGTTTATATCCATCACTTCTATGGCTACGGTGCATTTTCCTGAAAGACCCCCACCGTCTGAGGCCTCAACTTCCATATGGTAAGATTGAATTTCCTCAAAATCCAACGCCTTTTTTAATCTAATTTCTCCCGTGATTGAGTTTATTTCAAAGGCCTGAATGATTTGATTTGAGTATTGAAAAAATGAGTAGGAGAGCTCCCCGTGGGTCCCAGCATCTAAATCCCTGGCAGAGACGGTGATGACGAGGGAACCTATAGGGGCGTTTTCTGGGACCTGCACCTCGTACAGCCGCTGAGTAAATTCAGGGACGTTGTCATTGATATCTACAATCACTATGAGAACATGGGAAGTCCCAATTCTGGGCGGTGACCCACCATCCAGCGCTGTGAGGGTTAACCTGAGCTGGGGCTGCTCCTCGCGGTCCAGCGCTTGATCCAGCACGAGCTCTGGGTATTTCTTGCCGTCGCTGTGATTGCGAGTGAAAAGGTGGAAATAGGAGTTGGTGCTAATTGTGTAGTTCTGAACTGTGTTGCTACCTACGTCCAAATCTTGAGCTATTTTCAAAGGAAATGAAGTCCCTGGATGGCTGCCTTCAGAGATTTTCAGGAGGATTTCATTTTCCAAGAATTCTGGGGCATGGTCATTTACATCTTGGAGCTGTAGTTCACCTTGAATAAACTGCACCGGATTTTTCAATAACATCTGGAAATGCAGTATACATGGATCTATGTCACTGCACAACTCCTCCCGGTCCAATTTTTCTTTTAGGAGCAAATTCCCACTCTTCTGTTCGAGCTGCAAATACTGTTTATTCCCTTTGGAAAGAATCCGGGCGCCCCTTGCGGCCAGTTCCCCTACACCCAGCCCCAGATCTTTTGCTAAGTTGGCCACAAAAGAGCCGCTGTCCCTCTCTTCTAGAACTGAATACTTAATGGTAGCGCTGCCCGCCTCCCACAGTAGTAATAAGAAAATAATGGCGGTCACTTGCCTTTTCTCTGGTGCTTTGGGGAGCGGCGTCTCCATCATTCCTCAGGGTCCAAAAGATGCCGTATTAATCACAAAATAATTGCTTTACAGCCAACTCAGCTATCTTGATTTAAATATCTTGAGTTAGTTCTTTTTAACATGGACCGACATGGGATGGCTGCCTCTCTGAAACCTTCTATCCCCAGTGGTGAAAAAGTGTTTCCTTTTCGAGCTGTCAGAAAACCCGCACAGCTTTTAAGGAGACACTGATGCTGCAGTTTTTCACTCTTAGCCTGCAGCGCCACCAAGCGTTCTGCTTTACAACTTCAGATAATTTTCATTTCAAAGCACACTGTATACTGTGATAGCTAAAACATAAAGCAGGCCTTTTAGGTCATAGCCTGTTATATACTCCCTTTTCCCCTGCCTATTATGTGGCCTTGTTCAGGTAGCTAAGAATGGTTGTTACAGCAAAAGTAATGTCTATATCTGTATTCATCTTCCTTATAAAGGTGCAAGTTCAGCACACAAAACTCTGCTCCAGGCAAATTCATTTACTAACAAGTATTTACCTGTACGGACATTCATGTAGCTTCTTGGGATAATACAGTAAATGAAACATAAAAATTCTTGCTCTTGGAGAATTTACATTCTATTAAAAAATGCTAATTTGTTCTATTTTACTGGAAGAAATCATGAACTTTCAAAATCTAGTTTCTCTCTCAAATTGCAATGTGCCTGTAACTCCTGAAAGAAAATAAAAATATTGTTTCTTGTTAGTCTCTGGTCTACATAACCATTGTGGGTTTTTTTTTTTGTTTGTTTGTTTTTGTTTGTTTTTTGAGACACGGTCTCGCGTTGTTGCCCAGGCTGAAGTGCAGTGGCCTCAATCTTGGCCCATTGCAACCTCTGTCTCCCAGGTTCAAGCGATTTTCCTGACTCATCCTCCTGAGAAGCTGGGACTACAGGTGCGTGATACAACACCAGACTAATTTTTGTAGTTTTAGTAGACATGACATTTCACCATATTGGCCAGGCTGGTCTCGAACTCCTGGCCTCAAGTGATCCGCCTGCCTTGGCCTCCCAAAGTGCTGGGATTACAGGCATGAGCTACCATACCTGGCCACCATTTAGGATTTTTTCCTTTATAAATTTATTATGTGCAATGCCCAGTGAAATTTATAGAAAAAGGTGGTTTGTCTTATTAAAAATCAGTATAGGCCGGGTGTGGTGGTTCACACCTGTAACCCCAACACTTTGGGAGGTGGATCACTGGGGGCCAGGAGTTCGACACCAGTTTGGCCAATATGGTGAAACCTCGTTTCTACTAAAAATATAAGAATTAGTCAGGTGTGGTGGCACACACCTGTAGTCCCAGCTACTCGTGAGGCTGAGTCAGAAGAATCACTTGAACCCAGCAGGCGGAGGTTGCAGTGAGCTGAGATCATGCCACTGCACTTCAGCCTGAGTAACAGAGCAAGACTCTGTCTCAAAAAAAAAAAAAAAAAAATCAATATAAGCTCAGAATCTACGCAATGTCTTTTCTACAAATGTAAAGAAGACAACAAAGTTGACAAAGTCAAAAATACACTTTCTGGGGAAGGGTATTGACCTGTCTGCATTGGACAGGATACCACCCCAGTGTACATTCTCTAGGATTAAGGGGATGGGGATATTGAAAAACACTACTGCTTCAACTAAAAGCCAAGTGACTGGAGTGAGAACAATGGAAGAAGGAATCTCACCAAGGAAGAATGCTGTTCTAAGGAGGAGAGGGTATATATCTGAGAACACAAAACAGTAAATGTTCTCCACACTTATTTAATCAGTTGGTAATCATCCATGACAGTCAGTTCACTTATCTGGACACAAAACACAGTCAAATGTAACTTAGTTCAGCCCAGTTCCACTTCAATTAAGGATAAAAATAAAATAGTTGGTCAGGTGTGGTGGCTCATGCCTGTAATCCCAGCACTTTGGGAGGCTGAGGCGGGTGGATCATGAGGTCAGGAGTTCGACACCAGCCTGGTCAAGATGGGCAAACCCCATCTCTACTAAAAATATAAAAAATAGCTGGATGTGGTGGCATGCACCTATAATCCTAGCTACTAAGGAGACTGAGGCAGGAGAATCACTTGAACCTGGGAGGCTGAGGTTGCAGTGAGCCAAGATCGTGCCACTGTGTTCCAACCTGGGCAACAAGAGCAAAACTCCGTCTCAAAATAAAATAAAATAGTCACTGAATGGTCATTTTAATATACATTGCTTACCTTTGATAGAAAGTTGAAAGAGGGATTTTTAAATGAAATATCACAAATACAACTGACACAAATAAGACTAAATATGGGATAAACTGTGAAGGTAAATGGTTTTATGGTTAATACAGGCAAATGATGCTTACACAACACTAGTAGGGAAAATCTGATGTTACCAACTAACCTGCCACTAATACCTTATTTAGATTTTGGTAGATACCAAATATCTTGAGAAAGTGAGAGGAGGAGTTTGGCAAATATAATTTGAAAGCCCTTCAACTTTCAAATTGTTAAACAAAGACAAAAAGATAAACCGTGCGGTTAAGAATTTTATTTTCTGTAGTGGTATGTAGGGTGAGTAGAAGAGTCAAGAGTGTTTTCTGTTTTGAAGGAAAGCAATAGTGATTTGACTAAGAAGTGATATTTCATACTTTCACTCATTGGCAAGGATATTTTGTTGTACAGAGGATATTAGCATTTTGCTGTAGATACAATAGTGTTTTTAAAAATCAGTACTAGAATGTTAGTAATGTTCAGCAAATATTTATTAAGCATTTATAATTGGTACGACTTTTTTTTTTTTTGAAGACCATCATGTTCTTACATGAGGCTCACAAACTAATGTGATGACACTTCAGTAAAGTCTATAGTCACAAAAATTTTGGATTGACTATTATGGGATACTAAAATATGCATAAGTATGAATGGCTACTTTAGTGTTTAGCCATCATTAGTTCTTATTTTTAGTGTTACACACTGTAGGAGTTACTGCAAAATGAGACACTGGAGGATTAAATAATATGAAATACTCACATTTTAAAAACAGTCCTACATAGCAATAGTGAAACAACTCTTACCAATAGCTAGAAATACAATCTTACTTAAGGATTTACAATACTTTTTTTGGGGTAGGGGAAGAATAGATAATTTAATTTCAAAAGTTTAAAATTATGCAAATAAAAATTTACTTTGTGTTCATATTGTCAAGTACCCTCAAGTGAAGTAATAAACTCCTAAGCATGAACAGGAAATACTAAGACACCCAGTATCTTACTTTATATAAAATTTCAACCTAAAGAATAGAGGTAAATTAAAAAGAAACAGAACATGTAACTTTAAGTTAAAAGAGATCTCCAAACATAAGTAAGATTTAGTAAAATAATTCCACACTTAACTGAATGGGAAGCTATTCGGAAGGGCGGGGGTTTCTTCCATTTCTCTCTCAGTGCCCTGAGGAGGGAAGTTGGGGATAATCGGCTTCAGGAACTTGAACTCATTTGTTCCTGAGCCTCCCATCATACACACCTCGTACTGGTAGCTCTGGGACAGGGTCCTGGTGCCGCTCACGTCCACCAGATGCCCTGGAAAGGGGCCCTCGGGCACCGAGCAGCGACCCACCGAGGTCGCCCTGCTCCTCTTGCACAGCCGCACCGCCACGAACAGGAGCAACGACAAGAGGAAGAGCGACGACACCGAGGCCAATGCCACCACCAGGTAGACGGTGAGAGAGTCGGCCTGGGCCTGGGCCGCGGCTGCCTCCGGGAGCGGCAGGTAGGGCTGGGAGAAGCCGTCCACTAGGAGCAAGTGCAGCGTGGCGGTAGCCGAGCGCGGAGGCTCGCCATTGTCCTTGACCAGCACCACCAGCCTGTGCTTGGCCGCGTCGCGCTCACTCAGCAACCTGGAGGTGCGCACCTCGCCATTGTGCGCCCACACACCGAACAGCCCGGGCTCCGTGGCCTTGAGCAGCTGGTACGACAGCCAGGCGTTCTGGCCCGAGTCGCCGTCCACCGCCACCACCTTGGTCACCAGGTAGCCC